TAACTTTTGAGGATAGGACAAGAAGCAATGGACTTAAATTGTAGCAAGGGCAATTTAGGTTGGACATTAGGGAAAACTTCCTGTCAGGGTAGTTAAGCACTGAAATAAATTTCCTAAGGAGGTTGTGGAATCTCCATCACTGGATATTTTTAAGAGCAGGTTAGACAAACACCTGTCAGCAATGGTCTAGATAATATTTAGTCCTGCCTTGAGTACAGGGGACTGGACTAGAAGACCTCTCGAGGTCCCTTCCAGTCCTATGATTCTGAGTATAGTACTGATCACAATGGGGCCCTGATCCAGTCGGGGCTTCTAGGCATTGTTATGATGTAAATAATAAAATAGAAGGATTATGACTGCTTCACATCATCCTAACCACAAGACCACAGAACCCAGATGCTTAGACTGGCTACCTAAACTATTCTACCAAGAAAACCCCCCCATCCTATGCTAATCAAGAGTAAACTGATTGTTAAACTCATTGCCAAAATAACATCCTCATTGTTCCTTCAGTGTGTCACAGCAGCACACTGAGACACTGATCAAGGCCCTGTCACACTGGGCACTGCACAGACTGTGTGAGGACCATACCCTGCCCGTAAAGAGCCCCCAATCTAAACAGACCAGGCAGACAAGGACTGATCATCCCCATTTTCCAGAGTAAAGCCCCGATCCTACCAACACTTATGCACGTTTAATTTTACCTCCATGAGTCACTGTTAGGCACATGATAAGAAGTGTTTGCAGGACCAGGGCCTAACAAACAAAAACTAGACAGACAGACAATGGGTGGGATGGAAAAGAGAGGCCCTGAAAAGGGAATCACAAGGTCAAACAGGAAATCAATGGCAGAGCTGGGAAGAGAACCAAGGTCTCCCAAGTCTCAGGCTGGTGCCCTACCCAGTAGGCCACAAAGACACTCTGATGGAGAACTGTGCTAGCTGATGAGTTAGAGAGAGCCAGACCATTAAGAAGAGAGATTTTTGGCAGACAAAGAATGTAAGCAACTAACTGAGCAAAGTGCTGGATTCAGAGATCTAAACAGAGGCAGACACACAGCTGCAGGCTATGAAAAAGCTTATCAGCTGCTTTTGGAATTTACTCAAGTAGTTTGGGTTTTGTTTAAAAAAAAAATGAATGAATGAGATTATGTGCTTGTGATCCCCAAACCCAGGGAAATCTGTAGCGTTGACAGTGATGCTCCTCAGAGTTAAAGGGACAACATAAATTTAAGATTAGTCTCCAAATTTATGGTTAGCAGGGTTGTCTTTTTAAAAAATGGCATTATTATTTATACAGCACCAGAAGGAATCTCATGTGCTCTGCAGTATTAAGATGCCAACACCTCTGACCTCATGCTGAAGGCATCCTGATTTAAGTTGATAACCTTACAGATAAGAGATCAGGGTGGGGTTACAACAAAGAGCAGTGATTAAGCAGTGGAGTTTGGTTCATTACCTCCACAATTTCCATTTCCTTTTCTTTTTTAAATATACATACATAAAAACACAGTTTTCCAATTATTTGGAGAAGGCTTTCAGAGGGTTAGAAGGGAGAAATAGGATTTATTTGCAAAGAAATGTTGCCAAATCTTGAGTCTTTTGATAATTGTTGCTTTTCTTAAAGCCCCTGGTCCTGCAGTCAGGAGGTTACATGAAAATCTTTCACTTCTAGCCCTTGTGGTCACAGAGAAAAACTTGAAAATATGACCCCTAATGGCAAAACAAAAACAAAATACACCACACACACCACAGAAGGCAAACAAACAGAACCCAGCAGTGCAGCCTAATGGGTAGGTCACTGGACTGGGACTCAGGAGACTTTGTTCTATTCCTGGCTCTGCCACTGATTTTCTGGGTGACTTGGGCAAGTCACTACCTCTCTGTGTGACTCAGTTTCTCTGTCTGCACAATGATACCTCCTTTGCAAAGCACTCTGAAATCTAAGTGTTAAGTTCTGTTTATTTGCCTCCCGATTTCATTTCATGGTTTTGTTTTTTTTAAACACATTCATGGGACTACTCATAACAGTAAAATGTTTAATGTGTGTAAGTGTTTACAAGATCAGGGCCTTGAGTGCTTTTGAAAAAACCACACATGGATTTCTAGGTAGCTGTACCAAACAGCTGTACAAGGGGCAGGAGAACCAGAAAGTGAAAGTAACTAAAAACAAAAGTGAAACAGACTAGCCTATGTAAACATACACATGGAGCAGTAGTGATGACAGGTCAATATTCTTTAAATTCTTTCAGTCTCACCCATCCAACATCCTGTAATTCCTGAGTGACAGCTAGGGATTTATTGAGAATAGAATCTTCTTGTCTTCATAGTTAACACATTACATCTGGGCAACTTCTGCTTTGCCACTGCTGGCTTAAAAATAACAAAGCCATGATTTTCAAAAGCAATGAGTCATTTTGTAGGACCAAACCCAAAGCGCTTTAAAAGGGGTTTGAATTTCAGAGTGTGTTAAGTACCTGCCATACCCACAATGGAGCTATGACAGTTTACACCAGCTGAGGATGTGGCCCAGGGTGTTTCAAGTTGGGCACCCAAAAACAGAAGCATCAAAATAAAATCACCAGTCATAGTGGTGGTGGGGGGGGGGAAAATCTATGCCCAAAAATAGATAGCTCATATGAAACTCTCCACTGATGTAAATAATTAACCTGAAGGAGTTGAGTCTTGGTTGTCTAGCAATTCAGATCACAGAGCTAGGGAAGGGGGAGGGAAAATGCATGGATTATTAACATTTGGCTAACTGGATGCTCAGGAATAGCTCACAAAACCCCCATCCTGCAATCTGACCTCTCCACGCAAAACCCAGCCCAACAATGTGGTTCCACATGGGTGCAGGGAACCACCTGCTCAAACCAGACCAAAAGATCAGGCCAAAGCACTAGCAAGAAACAGAAGTGGTAATGATCCTGCATCCCACATTTGCTTCAGACTGAAAACTCTTTATGGCAGAAAACCCTTCTTTGCAGAGAGAATTTAAAGTGCCAGGCGCTGCATGTACCCCCACAAGATTCTGCTCATTCAGCCAAGTTGTTTTTTTTTTTTAAAGGGGGAATATTTATAATTCCAGTTATGATGGCAAACAGAGGAAAGAGTAAATAAAGTATTATTTTCCACTGACAGCCTTGCAAGATTTGCTGTATAAATAATGCTCCTTGGAATTAACCCATCTAGATGGGAATGGAGAGGAGGGTTGTTTTGGGATGAACTTGGAATCAGAAACTTTTGCTTTTCAAGTGTTTTGGTTTGCTCAGCACCAGGGTTGTCAGCTGGAGCCACCACTAACAAGGCCAAAGATTCCGGCTCCCCAGTAAATATAAACTAGAACGACCCTGGTTACAACAAAATTAGAGGTGAGACCTTTATCTCAAAGATAGAAACATACCCCCTTTAACACAGCTACCAACATGCCAGAAATTCACTGTTTTCTGTACAGAGTAGGCTAATTTTAAAAGGTGCCCAAGAATTACATTATAGCATCAAGCAGGTTACACATTCTACCTTAAGGTCCTTATCTGACCTCCATTATTGTAGTATGTGAGCACCTCACAATCTTTAACATATTTATCCTCCCAAACCCTCTGTGAGGAAGGATCACCCCCATTTTACAGTTGGGGAACCTCAGGCACAGACAAACGAAAGCCAAGATGCTCAAATGTATTTAGGCTTTTAACTTCCATTAATTTCTGAAGTGACTTGCCCAAGGTTACAGAGGAAGTCTGCAGCAGGGCAGGAAATTAAACAGATCTCCCAAGTCACAGATCAGTGTCCTGACCACGGGGCCATCTTCCTCTCTATTCCTAGATTGTTAAATTATTCAGTATGCTGATCTTGTAAAGTTATTGCAGATTCTGACTGTTCCCATACCTTTCGTACAGTCAGAGCCGATAAGGGTTCTGACACATTGGGCTCCTGTCCCCTTTCCTCCCCCCGCCCAAATATGGTAATTGAGAACCTGCATTGCTGAATCAATGAACATTACAAACAGAGTCTTTCGTTCCGTTTAAGAGAGAGCCCAAAGGTCCAGCTATCTTACTTTGGAAGGCAGCCTCAGATTCTGTATAATGAAACCTTCTATTTTACTGAATGCTAGAATTTACTCACAGATGAAGCATGGGGCTGGGAGCCAGCAATTTCCCTGGCCTCCAACTTACTGTGTGGTCTTTCTTGAGCCACATAAAACCGATGAAGTGAGCTGTAGCTCACGAAAGCTTATGCTCAAATAAATTGGTTAGTCTCTAAGGTGCCACAAGTACTCCTTTTCTTTTTGGGGTTTTCAGAGTACCCTAGGGGAGTTAGGAACCCAGCTGCTATTAAATTTGCACACTTTCCACCCCCTTAAGCCCCACTAAAAGTTCACTGATTCAATCCCCCCCGAAACATGGGGTGTCTGAAGATGAACATTTATGCAGAACTTAATGCATAATATGGAATCTTTTCCACAGACTACAATCTGCTTTGACTCAGGCCCGTTAACTGGCAAGTCACATTATGGCTCCTGGAATTCAGAAAGTGGGAAGTCAGCAGCCCAGGAGCTTAAAAAACATAATGGGACTCAGCAGAGATATGTGCTGTTTAACATCTGAAGAGTCAAAACAAGATAAACTCCCGTAATTGAGGCCTCGGAAAACATACTCCCTGCAAACGTTTCCCAGTTGCATTAAGCGTTCTGCAAAGTCGTGTGCTTTGGAAAAGTCTCAAACTCACCACAGCAACAAGTCTGGAGGCAGGGCAGGTTCCCCCCACCCCCAAAAAAAAAAAAAACTGGAAGCAAAAGAATAAAATCCTTATAAACGTAGAAAGCATGTACCCCAAATGTAGGGCATATGGTGGGGAAGAGACCTTAGATTACTTGGAAAATAATTATATCCCACACACACGCATCGTCCAAACTCCATAAGGCACTACCCTTCAAGGGGGGGGTGGGGGGTGGAAAGAGAGCACTTTATCAACAGCGGGACAACAGCCTCTCCTCCAACTTACTTTCTGTTCACGATCCACCCAGCCGGTTGCATTCCCTCATTTTAAGGGGAGCGTGCAAGGCCCTTCCACACCCCGCAGGCTCAGAAGCGGCTCTGGCCAGCCGACGCAACCCCGCCGGAGTGCCCAGCTTTTGCAAACGCTTCCAGCCTCTCCGCTTGTTGCAAACGGGAGAGCCGATGACATGACCCCGCCGCCGCGGCACGGAAACTTTGCAAAACCCTCCCTGCCCAAGGGAAGGGCAGCGCGTGGAGACGATAAAGAAGACAGGAGAAGGAGCGGGGGGGCGGTTAACGCTTTTCGTGACTGTTTCAGGCCCGGGCGCCATCAAAGGGAATAAGGCAGAGCGGGACCGACCGCGAAACGACCCCCCTTCCCCACCCCACCTTCGTGAACCAGTTTCTGGTAAACGCTTCACGTGGGTGGACACGGGCTGAGACGCACCGAAGCCCATTTGAATCCATTAGTCATGGCAAGGGAAGGGAAGGGAAGGGGAAGGGAAAGGGGGGGGGATGCGGCAGAAACCACCCCCCCTTCCCTTTTTAACGGCTTCCACACACAAAAGAGGAGGAGAAATCGACAACTCCCCACCCCCCCCATCAGAAGGGGTAGGTGCCCCCAGCGCCCCCATCCAAGGGAGGGGTGCCCCCCCCTTGCACACGCCCCCTAGCGGGGGGGGGGGCCGTTGTTTCCCTCGCCCTCTCTCGGGCCGCCGGGGCGGGCAGAAGCCGCCTGGCGAAGCCCCACCCTGCAGCCGACGCTGGCGAAGAGCCGCGCGTCGCTTCCCCTCAGGCGCCGCTGCCAACCGCCCCCGGGGGGAGGGGAAGGGGGGGAGCCCCCCGACAGACAGACACTCACTCACCTGTGGAAGAGCGGGAGCGGGAGCGGGCTCCCTGCGGCCTCTCGCCTGCGCCTCTCGGTCCCCGCCCCTGCCGGGCAACGCGCGCCCTGCCCCGTGACGTGCCCGCCGCCGCCGCCGCGCGAGACGCTGGTCCAGCCCCAGCAGTCGACCGCGGAGAAACCGATCGGCCGCCCGAGGCCTCAGCCGCCGGCGGGGAGGGGCGGATCCGGGCTGAGGCCACGCCCCACCCTGCGGCTGCCGGCGCCGCGCGGCCGCTCCTCCGCTGGGGGGGAGGGGCGCGACTCACGGGGCTGAGGCGGCCGTGGCGGGAGGCGGGGGGGATAGAGGGGTAGATACGGGGATCAACTGATAGACTGAGACGGGGCTCGATAGATGAATCAGTAGCGAGAGACGGGGATCAATAGAGACAGAGAAAGAGATACGCGGATAGCTGGATCGATAGATACGGGGCTCAATAGAGAGATGAGATCTGAGGATCGATAGATACAGGGATCAATAGATGAGGTGTCTGAGGATCATAGAATCATAGACTATCAGGGTTGGAAGGGACCTCAGGAGGTCATCTAGTCCAACCCCCTGCTCAAAGCAGGACCAATCCCCAGTTTTTGCCCCAGATCCCAAATGGCCCCCTCAAGGATTGAACTCACAACCCTGGGTTTAGCAGGCCAAATACTGTACAGGGATTAATAGAGAGATGAGGTGTATGAGGATTAATAGATACATGTGGGGATCAATAGAGAGATGGATACAGGGATCAATAGAGAGATGAAGTGTATGAGGATTAATAGATACAGTGATCAATAGAGAGACGGATACAGGGATCAATAGAGAGATGAGGTGTATGAGGATTAATAGATACATGTGGGGATCAATCGAGAGATGGGTACAGGGATCAACAGAGAGATAAGGTGTATGAGGATCGATAGATGCATGTGGGGATCAATAGAGAGATGGATATGGGACCAATAGAGAGATGAGGTGTATGAGGATCGATAGATACATGTGGGGATCAATAGAGAGACGGATACAGGGATCAACAGAGAGATGAACCTACAGAGGGTTATGCAGAACCCCCTCCCAATACGCTGGCCCCCAGCGGGGGGTGTAGCAGCTAGGGATCCCCTCCACTCTCCCTGGCTGCCTGCCAATGGTCGATGTGCTGCTCAGAGCCCATTGCATACCACCTTCCTTCCTCCCCGGAGCCACTCCAGCCTTACTGGCCCATCCCTGCCCCAAGGAGGAGGGCAGAGCTGGTAGCTGAGTGGCAGTGAGGTGCTCCCAGGAAGCCTCCTTGCACCCCGCAATAGTGTGCCCTCACTCCCCCCGCTTCCCCCAAACAACTAGGGAAATTCACTGCCCCAAAACTTTGTTATTGGAGCGTTAAGTCTGGCCAGCCTCTTGCCTTTCCAGAACGTCGAGGGGCCCCCTTACTTAAACCTCTGAAAACTAGGAAATACCGAGATGCACACCAGCCCTGCCTCGCAACCTGAACTCTGCCCCTGGAGCTGGCAAGAGCCGCTGGGGAAGTCCTGCCAGTAAGTCTGGCTGATGTGAAGGACTCTAACCCTCAGACCCCATCTCTGTGTCACCTGATGCATTAGCTTTTTAGAGTGCTCCTTTGAGCTGCTTCTCTGTGGGTGCTGTTGCGCTGCCTGGAGGAGACACACGGCTTGAGCATGTCATCAACATGATGCAAGAGTGGCAGGTGAGAGAGACCGAGAAGAGGAAGCGTGTAGTGGAAAGTCTCTGGGGGCCATCATAGCTTGAGAGTCAGCAGTCCCACCCTCAGTGTACCAGGATGTCCAGTGGTAGTACAGTGAGCACCCAGTGAGAATCTCTATTATGGCTTTTGCAATGCCAGTCAATAGGGAGGGGGAAATCTCTTTGCTGCTTTCTTGGTGCTTATCTCCAGGGACACAAAGCACAATGTTGCACCACAGTTCCTGATGCTTGGGTGAGAACCCAGCTTGGCTTATTTTTTGGCGTATCAGAGGCTGGAGAAACACTGCGGCACATCAACTGTATTTGCAAACTCAAGAGGGCAACTGGACACACCCTATCCCATTGCTACAGCGGCAGGTCTGACAAACCCCGCCTGGAACCAGCTAAAATACATTCTCATTAACTCCTGCCAAGGCACAGAGTTCTCCTGTGAAATCTGGGTGTTGGTGTTAAACACAAAGGATCTGACAGGTAGACAGTGCAACCCTGCCTGGTAGTGGGAAAACAAAGAATCTTGCCTGGCTACAAGATTAAACCTGAAGTTGGCCAAAACCAGACATAGGAACCCCCTGTTATCAGGGGGAGAAGTAGTAGGTGCTCCCATAGAAAAATGGCCCTTGAGTCTGGATTTAAGAGGCAACAAGGTGCTGGCAAGGGACACCGACCCAGAGCTTTTAATAAAGCTCCCGATGGCACTCGGCCAGGGTTTTGTGTAGGTAGCTATGGAGTGAGTCCAAAGAGGAGTAGACAAACAGAGCGCCTCGGAACATGAGGTCAGGAATGCTGCTTCGGTCCTTGGTGCTCCGTTGTTCTGACCAAGCTATGAGCTGCCAACTTCCTTTACCCAACATCGCAAGAAGGAAGGAGAGTCCATTGATTTGGGCATTAGATGAAAACATCAATACTCTTGCTGGAAGGTTGCAGCATAACACGACTTTATTTCTTAAACTCCAGACCGTAACACACAAGAACCAAAACCAGAGAGAGACAAAGCAGGCTGCTCCCTAAGGCAGCGAGGCACACCTTACCCAATCTTTCTCTAGCATGGCTCTTTGCAGACTGGCACTGACTGCTGTTAGGCCCATATCACACGCTTCCCTACAGAGCCCCCTAGCCTGCTAGCAAAACCAGGAAGGCCCCCTGAGAATTTAAAGTGACAGTTTACAATTAACACAGTTTTCAATGCACCACAATTCGCACCAGTTGCTGTCCTGTCAATGCTGTCAACAGAGTCAAATCCCTAGTTCTTTGCATCCGTAGATCAAAACGTGCTTTATGAAGAAGGTCAGTGTCATTGTCCCCATTTTACAGATGGAGAAACTGAGGTCACCAGCAGAGCTAGGAATTGAATTTGGGTCACTTGAGCCCCACTCCAGTGCACTGTAAGTCTAAGTCCTCTTCCTTTAGCCCCAGAAAGTGACCCCACGAACTCGCCGTTGGGGGCTGAAGGGTCCTCCTTCCACTCACCCAATAGACTGCAGCACCCGCCTGTGGAGCGCCCACTCTTCATGGATGTGTGGCACAGTCAACCGGCCTAGGAGGCATCTAACGCACACGGTGGGTCCACGGTGGTGAGTCAGATGCCTTTCTGCTGAGCAGACAGGTTTGCTGCAGTTGCGGCAGCAAGCCTGCTCAGACCAAATGGAGAAGTGTGCGTTTGGAGGCGGGGAGGGCGTATCACTGACCGGTCTTAGTTCTGTGATTTGCAGAGACACCCAATTGGCGGCTGCAGGGAGTACTCCAGGGCCAGAAGACTTAGGGAATGGCTACCCTGCCATAGAAGACCCCCGGCAGCAAGTGTCAGAGCCTGGGTCAACTGACTTGGGCTGGCACTACAGGGCTAGAAATAGCAGTGTAGAGAATCGGGCTGGAGACCCAGTGAGGAGGGAGGGTCTCCAGCTCAAGCACAAACAGCTACACTGCTATTTTCAGCCCCCTAGTATGAGCCCAAGTCAGTTGACCCTCACTCTGAGGGTTGCTGCTAGGGGTCTTTTCTTTGCACTCTAGATCTACCCTGAGAGGGATGGAGGTTTCTGCCCCCTCAGTAGGGCGGGCGAAGCATCCCCGAGTGTCAGGGAGGGATGTGTGTATGTGTCCAGTCATCCATAAAACAGCAACTAAAGAGTTAATGGGTAAGGCTTAGAAATGGCGGGAGTGAATACATGCTGTGTTAAACATGGGGGCATGGAGCCGTGACACTGGGGGAGAAGGCAGGGCGGGAGAGTTGGTGCAGTGGTCAGAGCACTAGCCAGAGACCTGGGGTCAAGTATCTGCTCTGCCACAGGCTCTCTGTGTGATCTTGGGCCAGTCACTTAGCCTCAGTTTCCTCATCTGTACAATGGTGATAAGTGAACTGCCTTGTCTCATGGGGGTGGTGTAAGGATAAATACATTAAAGACTGTTACGTGCTCAGATACTAGGGTGGTGGGGGCCAGGTCAGACCTAAGAGAGTGCGGCATGACAGCAGTCAAACAAACCCTTCCCCAGAGAGTAAGGACAGCCTAATGGTTAGCCCACTAGCCTAGGACTTGGCAAACCTAAGTGCAATTCCTTACTCTACCCAGGCTCCTTGGGCAAATGACTGGGGACCAAACCTTTGAGGATTAGAGCCTCAGTTCTCC